TCTGACTAATAAGTTACTTTCATTAGTCCCTTTTCAACTGACTCATATTCCAGCTGCACCACTAACTATAATCATTTCCTCTCTTCCAAGACTTAATCGGTACCATCAATTTCTTCCATCATAAATGTACCTTATTAGTGAGCTTAAATCATTCGTGAAGCATTCAACCGAATAAAACTTCCGACTGTCAGGCGCCAGAGTTTGGTTAATCGAATCATTACTTGTGTCCCTTTTCTGATTCTTAGTATCTTAATTACTAGTAACTACCTAAATGGTATATGAGTCACCCGATCCACGTGTTCCACTCATCTCCCTTATTAGATTTGTTGTATGCAAGGGAAATGAATCGATATGAATCTGGTTACTCTGGTCAATGCACTTTCCAAGCACAATGACACTTCTTAACTGAACTTCAAATTTTCCTTAAATATTTACCAAATATATTTTCAGTTTTCAATCCTAAATACCCTGGTTATAATACACCTGACTGTAATGCAAATGTTGGCACATAAGAAATGTTGGCACATAAGAATGATAACCACTGTCACCGGAAGTAAATGCTGGTGACGTCTAATGCTAATGAAACCCCCAAGGGTCCACATAAATGAAATAACGAATGAACAAGTAGTAACCGGTCATATACACATGATTGATGCAAACATTGGCACATAGGGTGATAACTAATGTATGGTGAAATAAATGCTAGTGACGCTGAATGTGAATGAAACCCCAAAGGGGGGGCGACATGTGTTGGTACTATCTAGCTAGTTGACCTCCAACTGCCATCGCTTGTTGGGCCTGCCTTACCAAAGTCTGCAGTGTTCTAATATACCTAGTATAGCAAGCAGACGACCAACGACCCAGGACCTGAATCAAGTGGTCTGGGATATTGGAAGAAGCTGCTGTGGTTGCAGCACCTATGCTGAAAGAGTGTCCATTATAGGCTCTATCATTATAACCTGAATGATAATAGATTCTTCAGATGTCGTACAAAGTATGCCCTGTTCATAGCAATTCCCTGTGGCGTCAGGAACAGAGGATCCACAGGATGAAATCCATAATGTTTTCGCACACTGATGTAGTTCCACATTGCCTGTACTGGGCAAATCCTGTTGTTCGTTTTGTGAAGTACAATGTCGACCTCTTTTCGGAATGGATCAGTCTTTGATGATTTAAGTTTTAATGTCAATTGAGATTTCTCTGGATTGAAAGATATAGATTTGATACACAGATGGTATTGTGGATTGAATTTGTCACAAGTAAATTCTCCGCATCTGAGGAATCCGAAAAACGCACAACAACACGCCGTTTTTAACAGGGCATTGGTATAGGGGTTATAGATGCCATGGTCTAACACATTACATAGTCTAATGAGCACACCACTTGTAATAGGCATTCTAGTATTGGCGTATACACCTTGACTACGCTTGACTGCATTGATAATAGTTTGGAGGCGCAGAAGTGATCCTGAATTCCAAGGATTATCCAAGTACATGAACCGCACCCCACATAGGTATGATTTGATTGTGGAATAGCGTAAGCGTAGTCTTCTATAACAATATGCCACAAATTGTAACTATCCTCTGACATAGGAGGCAAGTGCCTTGTCCAGATAATACCACTGTTGTCCATGAAGGTGAGGAATGCTTGAAAACCTGACTGGTATACTTGGTAGGTTCTCTTGGACACCGTTGAAGCCCACAGTCTCGACAAATCCTCCGTTACCTCTGTGCGGGTGCTTGGAGTGGGGGATACATCAGTTCTCTGACACTGGGGCATGGCGTGGGTAGTCTTAGAGCTTGTGGAGCAAGTCTGCAGAAACGTGATTTCGCGATCAGATAGTATGACTAGTAACATAGTACATGAATTATGCATACATTAGAGTGGAACAATGGTACGATGTAAAAATATTGTATGCCATTATAAACTGCACTCCACACGTGGGAATAAATTGTAATATTGCATATAGTATGGCTAGTAACCTAGTTCATGAATTATGCATACCTTCGCATGGAACAAGAAGGTACGATGTAGAAATATAGTATGTCATTATAAACTGCACTCAATTGTCTCTGAGTTATAAATAAAGTATGAAAATGAGTAGGGCTGGGCATTATAACCGGTTTATAGGTATTTTCCGGTTCAGACTTGAAAACGATACGTATTGTGATACGCTGATCAGAACCGGTATTTTGACATGCATTCGGAAACCTTCGTAACACTCGAAAATCTTAGGATATTTTCGTTTTTTAAATTGTTCCTTTCTTTGTTTCATTTATGCCAAACATTATTTACGCTTTTATTTTGTCGTGATTAAAAGTTCATATTAAAGCCTAATCAAGCATAGTGATTTTGTTGTGGTTTTGCTTAATAAATCAAGCATTACTCGATTATAAGTAGTTTATTGTTAAAAATAATTCTTGTAACATAGTGCAATACATATCGGAATATATGCTTTCGCATCGCGATATATCACAATATGAAAATTCTCTGCAATACCCTACCCCCAAAAATAAGTAATAATGTGTGATGGTGTAATACTTAAATAATTTCTTGTTGAGCCGTACACATGGCTGGCATTGACATGTACCTGTTTGAATATGGTCTTGGCAACCAATGTGAAACTGTTTGTCAAAAAGCATGAAACACAACAATCACATGCAGCAAGTTACATGATCACATTAGCAATCACACATGTGTTGGAATGCAAGCACAAAGACACTGCTAAACATTAAAATACATCACAATTTAACAAAGTGACTCACAAATCAACAACCTGAGCTTGCAATGGGTTGGCTTGATGCTGACAATTCTTTGCAACAGTTGCACAAGCCATTGACTGTAGTCAGAATGGCACCATTGCAGATTGCCTAGGACTGGGGCACCTCACGATATGTCATACCAAGATGTCAGGTTTCAACCCCTATGCAACAGATTTGAGACTGCAACCCCACCAACTGACAGTTGTTCAGAGATAGTAAAGTGTCAGCAAAGACCATCATGTATCCAAGCATGATGATCATACACAGGACATATCCTGATTTCATTGTGCTCAATGTATACAATAGGCTCACAGACATGACCGATTCAACTAGAGGCAGTGGAACAGGAATGTTTTCAGTGATAAGTGACAATGTGCTTTGAGAATTGAGCAATTTGGAATGGGCTTTGACCATTGGCAAAAAATACTCCCAAACCATTACAATCTCAGTTGATTGTTGTCCAGGTCAATCTTAATGTCATACAGTGCTGGACACCATTAATAATAATACTTTCTCATTAGCAATGATGGATTCACATCAGAGTCCTCCCCAGGCACATCGTGATCACCGGAATGTTTTGGCAACATCATGTAGAATAATAATACATGTATATATATGCATCCAGTTGTACATAATCATTGTTGAAGGAATCAATCTCAAAAGCATGTGTCACAAGCAAAGAAATGGCCATGTTATAAAGAATGTACTGAAAAAAGTGTAAAAAAATAACATATTGAACAAGGAATGACAATGCAAAAACAGAAGTGAATACACAGTTTGAAGTGTGACATTGCAACAGTCAATCTCATTGACAGTGTTGCAGAAAAAATGAGAGTCAAAACTTGAAGTAAAAGTAATATGTTGAAATTCATTGGTGAGTTTATGCAAGGCAAAGTATATTATAACTTGTCTTCTATTAGGCCAAATGTTCAAGGTTCAGTGTGCACTGCATCTACACGGAGACATGAATGAACAGGACTATTCACGGTAACACAATACATATATTCATCACATTTTAACATTTACTTAAACTGAGAATAGAAGGGCATTTAGAGCAACTGCACAAACTTCTGTTAAATATTTGTTGAAAAATGTCTTTCAAGTGATACTTTAACTTATGTGGATATTTCTGTTTAGTTCTGTGAAAAGCTTTTAAACCTAAAATTTTATCTAAAAACTATCTTTATATGTCAAATCCCACTAATGCAGGACTACCAAGTAATTTGGAATGAAGAATGTGATTCCATAATTTGGGTGTCCATATGTTGCTTCTATTTTTTTAAAATGCTTGCTGCTACAGATATCTATCATATTTGTTATTATTATTATTTATTTCCAAAGGGTGCATGTAAGCCATCGGCCCATGGTTCCATTGTGTTGTGATATTTACTCACATATAGTACAAACATTGGAACACGTTTCACTATTTCAACATTAGTATTGGACGATAAGCTTAACTTATGAATTGTAGGGTTTACAAAACATATAAGTGGTATAAACTGTTTTCTAAGAGGACTGTAAACATTACATACAAGTAGAAAATGATATTCACTTTTGATATTACGTCGATTAGAGTTTACAAACCCTTGGATTTCTAGGAATATTACGATACCTTCTCGTTTTGATGTTTAAAGAATGAGGAGTACAACGAAAACGAGCCAAAACTGTTCAAGATTTAGTGATGACAAATATGGTTCAACAGTGAAAACAGTCTTAAACTGAGAATACGACCACATCTTAGAGCATCAGAGCAGAGTGCCAGTTCTGTTCATAAATGACTTTTAATCTAAATTCACATTCTGTCAGAAAAGGAACAGGGAAATCTACACTTTGGGCTTCCCAGATATAGCCAAAGCAATCAATATAGAGCAAAGATTTAGTTTTAGATGCCTAGTTAGTTACTATATCATATTGCAAACATAAGTCATGATATCATACTACCAGAAATATGTAATGTTGTTTGGTCCCTCTATGGAGTACCAATAACCCCTGTTTGATGAGTCTGGCCCATGCTCTGTTACTAGGACCTTTAGTGGCAGTATGTCTTATATTTCCAGGACCACCAAGTACCCCAACAAACATCAGTGTCTCCCCAGAAGGCCCTATAACTCTACATGTTTCCTGGAAGGAGGGGTTCACTGGTGGAGCTAACCAGACATTCACTGTAGAATACAGCACAGACGAGGAGAACTGGAAGACAGCAGGGAACTATACAGAGACAGGGAAATCCATCAATGATCTCAACTCTAACACACTGTACTATGTGAGGGTTGTCGCCTGGAACAAGTTTGGAAGCAGCAACTACACTGAACATGTGACTGGACGTACAGAGAAGAAACTTGATCGTAAGAACTTTAACGAGTGCATGAGAATTGTTTACATCAGACAACACTTGTATTTCAATTGATAGTGTTAAGTTAGACATTCCATCTCAAGGGCCAAATCATTCAACTATAACCTGTAGTGTTGATGTTCCTTTTGCTATTAGGGGGCCCAGGTCCCCTCTCCCAATTTTTATGGTTTTTTTTATATCAATGGTTATGATTTGAGACGTAGGGACCATTCGTAATTTATGGCTAGTGGGCGGTTGGTGTGGGTGTGGGTGTGGGTGTGGGTGTTGTGAGTGAGTGCATGCGTGTGTATCGAACAAAATGCAGTTCAGTGAGATATACGTTCAGGAAAATCTTATTTTTCAATTTCTTGTCTGTTTTGTGCCAAAAGAATTTCACATGTTATGTTGGATATAAAAACGAATGTGAAAGCCTTCTACCATGTATCAATGTAGAATGGAATTCTTATTGATTACATAGTTTCAGCGGACTCACAAACAGCCGTGATAGTTGGTGTTACAGTCTCAGTTTGTGTGCTTTTACTGGTTGCGATTGTGGCAGGTGGTCTTATGATTCGACACAGAAGGACAAAAGGTAAGTTATTCCAACCTGACTAACTCACAGTGTAATATGTACAACTGAATGAACAGCAAACATTTGTCAGTTCAGACAGCAATACAACTGTAAGGAAGCACTCCAGGTGCCAGTTCTGTCAAAACAGCTTCCTTGTCACTTTTTCTAATCTACCAGATTTCCCAATACTGGTTTTCAGTGTTACTCATTTTCACATCTAACAAAGTTGCTATATGGTCCTGTTATCAGTAGAGACCTCATCAAACTTGCGGTGCTTGGATGTTCCTGGCCTCTCTTTGAAAGATTCAGTTTCTGGAGGTTTCAGGCTGTTATACCTTTCCACCTCAACCGCTTAACCTGACCACTCCATTTTGTACCAATAGTATCTCAACTGGTTATGCATCATAATGTGATGAAATGTAGGCTACTCTAGCACTTCCCAACTGACAGATAAATAAACAGATTATTCAACAAAATATACTCACCATACTGAAGTTGAAAAAACTCAAGCTACTTGATGTCCTTTGGAGTAAGCCTAAAGTGGTCAAGTGTAAATGACTAGTCAGTGTTGCGCAGTGGAATTGAAAACTAAACTAACTAAAATTAAAGTATCGAAATATGCTATTTGGGGAACTGAACGTGACTCTTTTGATTAAACTGATGAAATAATTCAAACAATACAAATGGGGAACTAAACGTGAATCTCTTATAACAAATGCTAATGAGGCAAGAAACTTAATGTGATACCTTAAATTCTATTATCTACACTATCTTGCTCTATTGCAGCGTAACTCTACTATATACAGTATCTAGCTCTATAGCAGCTAGCTATATGGAACTTCTATTTCGATGCACTAATACATTCTTTATATCAGTCTATCTAAATCCTACTTTGACGAGCTGTCACCCAACTCAAGAAACAACCGAACTCAAGGGAAACCTGAACTCAACTGACGTCTAAACTCAATTATGTCTTAACCCAAGCATAACCTGTACACAACTGACCGATTTGACCGTTTCCCACGTGGTCAAGAGCACGTGGTCTGACCGCACGTGAAAAGTCATGCTTCTCAGGCACATCCTTCGATTGCTACCCACAATGATGGATGGTCGTGACCAACTTGTTTTTTAACACTGCCACCTAGTACGACTTTTGTTTGAACTTTTCTTGGTATACATATACCCATCTAGCGCTAGCTTGAAACCACCTTTATTTTTCCTAATAACCTCCATGATGCAGTGTGATATATCAGACTTGACCATCTAAAACCTCTTATATACAGGTGGGGAAGGATGATTTGATAATACATCATTAATTGATAAGCTACTCCAAACTTTAAAGAAGGAAGCAGGAAATCAGGAATTTAATTAAATAACAATAGCGCTGACCATCTTAATAAACACCATGTTCATTGACATGCCACAATGAGTACCTGCCCAACAAAATCAAACATAAGAGGAAGTGACCAATTTAAGCAAGTTCTCTGAAACAACATTTAGCAGATTTAATTCCATTGTTAATTCTTCCTGACGTGCATGGCTCAAGGGAATGAACTTGTTCCTGGCTCATTCAAGGAAAAGAGGAATCCAGAAATTGGAATTGGTCCCAAGGTTAAGAATGGAGACCAGTGACCCTTACAACAACAATGATGGGGAAGATTGTTAAAGATGACATAAATATCAAAAGCGGTGTCATAATAGAACGGATGTTGTAATACCGATAGATTTGTCAAAAGGGGGTGAGCAAGGAGTTGGTTTTTTGGATGATTTGATCAACATCTAAGTTCTTTATCTATTTAAACGGTTGAGTCCCTTATCGCCTACACCCATTCATTGATTGACGGTCCTTGGAGCTGGTCAAGCTGAACAAAGCCGCAGCATCTACTTGGAGTCACTCAATCGCCCGACCCTGACGTCGCCATTTTTTACTGATCATAGACATTCAGAATCAAAAAGTCTCGGCAAGGGCGCCTAGCCACCGGTTCTTCGGGCTCAGGCCCCTCCCCCAAACCGCAAGTATAACTTGCCTCTTGTAAATAACATCACCAAATTCATAATCTGTAAATACTAAATCTCACCAATTGTTTTGTAAATACTTCATCTTTGTTTCACCAATCTTATATGTTTGTCCTATTTATTTTGTATATAGTATATGTAATACAACCACACCCACACCCACTGCCCCCCAACTCCTCTCAACCCCACCCCACCCCCACCCCACCCCAAACATGTCTTCCCCACTACCCTCTACATCACTCTTTTCCACCCCAAACAAACACTTTCCACAACTCACCTCTCCAAACAATGTAAACCCCATACCTATAAACTTCGGGATAGATCTAGACCACCTACTCCCACCCCAACCCATGGAAATAGCCAAACCCCCTACCAACACCACCACCACCCACAAAAAAAACCAATACCCAACCAAACAAAAAACGCCCACACATCTCTCCCGAAGCAACCCAACAATCCAGCAAAAAAACATGTGACCAAGACACCCCACCGCAGCCACAACCAACCAAACACTTACTTCTAGCATTCGCTACAAACACCAACACACCCCTAAATCACACCTACTCTACAAACAAATTTGCCCTCTGCCTGAAAAAAACAACAAATCACTTACAAATACATAAACTTCTGTGGCAGAGGTTTCAAAGTAACATTCCCAGATGAACATTCACTCAACAACACACTTAAACACACATTAATTGACGGAAACACAATAAAATGGGAGAAACCGAGGTGGCAGACACAATCACAGGGGGTCATTCACATCGACAACAGGGAAACACAAACAGACATTCAAGAGTATATACACATTGCAAATTCCATCACAAACCAACCCAAAATCACAGACTACAAAACAATAAACACAAAACAACCATCCGCAAACAACCCCAATACCCAGATAACCTTCCTCACATTTCAATCAACCACCCTACCATTCTACATCACATTTGGCGCATTAAACTACAAAGTACACCCCATCCGTAAAAACCCAACACAATGTAAAAACTGCTTTCAATTCAATCACACAACAGACAACTGTAAAAACTATTCACTATGCCCAAAATGCGGGTCAGACATGCATGACATCACAGAATGCACCCACACTACATATTGCATACACTGTCAAATACAAGGACACTCTGCAAATCAAAACACCTGCCCCATAAAACAGACACAAATATTAAAAATCAACAAGCACCTCAAACAAACTGACCTGCCCAAACCTGCAACTTACATCCACAAAAATAATTACTCCCTACTATCACTATCGTCCTCCTCTCCTCAAACATCTCCTCTTCCACAAACACCTCCTCCCCTTCCTACCACCCCCACCTGCCCTACCAAATCCATAAACCCCGCCAACCTCCATCCCTACCTCCCTCCCAACCACCATCCCTCCCCAACATCCAAACCTCCCCAAACGCCCTAACCCACCCTTCCCCAAACCCAACCAAACCCAAACCCCAACCCACCACCAAGTACCCACCCCCAAATCCCCAACCCACCAAAACCACTACTCCCTCTTTTCCCAACCCCACCCCATCCAACCCACCCAAACAACCCGTTCCAAAACTGCCCCCCCCACCCACCAAACCCCAACCAACCACTCCCCACATCTTCCACCCCACCCCAACCCAACCCTCCTTCACGCTTCACCAAAACCCGGTCACTCCACCTAAAAAATCCACTACATCTGCCCCACAAACAAATCTCACACTCACCCCACAAAAAATAAACCACAATTTAAACCTCATTATTGAATTCATCACTGCAGCAATACTCATGAACAATCCCACACCCAAAAAATTACATAACATTGCACGCAGCAACAAAATATATCACAAGAGTCTAGCTAGTCTCATCATAGCAGTTAAATCCTCTCATAAAACAACCCACCACTAAGCTACCCTAGCAGCACTTAAACCCTCTCTTCAAAATTTCTGCCCCATCCATGGCTTATTATAATATCATATTCCAAATTACGCAGAGTCATGGCTCTGATACAATGGAATTGTAACGGCCTCCGAAGCAAACGGGCATGAGCTTAAGGCACTCATCGCTTAAAACAACCCCCTAAATAATATTCTTACAAGAAACAAAACTTTCACCAAAATTCGCCTTCAAAATCCCAGGCTACAATTATATCAGGAAAGATAGACCCGGCCAATAAATCTCCCAGGTCCGCCAGCAGGGGACTGGGAATATTCATTCAAATAAACTCAATTATTCAGAAATTGACATTCAAACTACTAACTTAGAAGTCCTGGCAATAAAAACTACAATAAATAATAAACTATTAACTTTCATAAATACCTACAGAAGACCCTCTATTAAACTTATACCCCAAGATTTAGACAATATCGCAAAATTCTTAACGCCCAACACCTTTATCCTCGGGGACCTAAACTCTCACCATCCATTATGGGGCACAAAACCCTATACTGATAATAACGGCTTTCTTCTAACTAACTGGCTAGACGACCACAACCTCGTCACACTAAACGACAATCAACCCACCAGATACCCTCTCTCCCACGCCCAATCTCCAACTGCAATAGATCTTACAATCACCACCCCTACATACTCAAAAGCTTGCCTATGGGAGGTACATGTAGACACATGGGGCAGTGACCACTGCCCCATAAAAATCACCATATCTTCACTACTTACACCAGAATCACATACAAACCCCCAAACTACCCCCACTTCTAGCGCCGAAATCAAATACAATATACACAAAGCAGACTGGAACAAATTCACCAAACTCTGCAATCAAATTGACCCATCAAACATTATAAACACCGACACAGAAACTTTTAATTCACAACTCACAAACACCATCATCAATATAACAAATACATGCATACCCACATTTCGGACCACTCAAGCACAAAAAACAGTCCCATGGTGGAGCCAAGACATTATTAACGCCAGAAAGGCAAGGAAAAAGGCCCTTAATAAATCAAAGAGGGACCGTTCAAAATTACATTTAGCTAAAAAACTCA